GCCAATCCCGCGTACAGCTCGTAGTGATACAGAGGACCCGCACCCGCGCCAGCGTCATCAATCTCTTTCACCAGCGGTTTCAGATCCAGAGTCTCAGGGAAAGCGAAGCCCTTCTCGATCTTCGCGAGACGATCAGCCGCCGTCAACCGGATCCGGGCAATCTTCACACACACGACCGGGGGTAGAGACAGAACGTGGCTCGTTATTACGACCCGGGTTCTTGCGCGACACGTGTCACAGTAACACTCGCACACGTTGTAATCCGAGCCCCCGCGCCTCAGCACGTACTCTTGCAGCTCGCGGGGAAGCGCGCGGTTTTCCAGAGACACAAGGATCGTGTTGGATTTGGAGCGCCCCGAACTGAGAACAGCGTTGCAACTGAGGCAGCGCACGCTATCCTCTTTCTCGACGCGCCACAGTTTCCCGATGTCTCTGTCGGGACCGCAGCCGTCCGCCAGAGCGTTCACGATACACCCGAAGACCGCTTCGGCGTCTTCCTGAACCCAGAAAGACGTTCCTCTGTAAACACTCATCGAGTCCACAAGGCGACTCGGGTCGCAAGGCCACGCGCTCTCGGCGCTCTCGGCGCTCATGTCGCGAAAGAGGTTCTTGAGCGCAACGGGCACCGCATTCGGTGTGTCCGCGGCGTCGAACTCGAGTTCACGCATGAGGCCGGGTAGCTCGCGCGTCCCGTACAAGCACTGGACAACGCTGTTGACGCTACAAATGATCCCATGGTAATTAATTAAACCTCGCATCGCGGCCGTCGCGGATCACAGCAGATCACAGCACTCGGGAATCGAAACAGTGAAGAGATCGCTATGCCGTGTCAGTTTTTTTCCGAAGACCGGAATCCGACCGCGCCGAATCGGAGTCCGACCGCGAGGGCTTAGAGTCCGACCGCGAGGGCTTAGAGTCCGACCGCCTCGGTTGACCGATCTCCGCGAAAGCCTAAAGATTAGTCCGACCGCCTCGGTTGCCCGATCTCCGCGAAAGTCTAACTATTATAATAGTCAGTCCACAGCTCAACCACGATTAAAAAAAAACGAAAACCATGGCCAAGGCTAACGGATACGTTATCTTGAGATGTCGCACGCCGTGCCTCGTCGTCCCTGAGGCCGATGAGATTATAGTGAAGGCGACATCTTCTCTTTGGCGATTCCAGCCTTGGCGCAGCGGCGACGGAGACGCGTCAAAATGCTATGTCAGCGACAAAGAAGTAACGAAGTTTGAATTGTTCCCCGCGCTCCTAGAAGCGAGAGCGAAAGGACATGTGAGCAACGGACCCGCGGACGTGATGGCGATGCTGGACGAACAATGGAAGGTAGTTCAACCGATGTGCTCACGGATGTCCATGCGAGATGTAATACGTGCGGTCGCCGGAAGTCTTCTGGGCATGAAGAAAGGCCTGCGTGTGAACGAAATGACCGAAGATGAAAATATGATCTTTCCTGCACTCTTCGCCCTCAGAGCAGGCCGAAGGGGATGTATCAAAAACAACCCCTTCGCCGAATATTACCAGCCACAAGGCTTCGCTTATCTCACGGATGAAGCCGCGCGGTGGTGTCTGCGCTCGTTCGAATGGAGCGTCACGTTAAGTTTGAAGATGTCCAAGCTAAAAAGCGAAGATTATGAACGGTGTGCCGAATGGCCTTATGTGGACATAGCGTTCACAGAAGACGGAGGACATTTACCTCTCCTAACGAGAGGATCCGCCGAGATGATTGTATGGTGGATGCCTTCTAATGAAGAAACATACGTCCGCCGACGCGGACGAATGCCTTCTAATAAAACATACGTCCGCGTCCGCGGACGAGGGCTGCCGGCAAGGACTGCAGAGCTAACCGATTACGTATTGGAGAACGTGTCGGGGATCTTGGGGCGTCAAACTGACGGCATCGCAGTCCGCCGAGCGTACCGCCGAAGTAGAATACGGGCTGGGTACAAGCGTGTATGCCCGATACGGCTCGATCTACACGGGGAATCATAACCCGTGCACAATTTGCAAGATCCCACCAGCTGTCACTGCTTTGGTGTACAAGGTAGAACCTGTGAAGTAGCTTGCAGAATGAAGGATGACAAACTAAAGAAATGTCTGTTTTTTTGTGGTGTTGTTATGAATATTATGATATGTTTTTAATTGGTTTTTTGTTGTTATAAACATAATGTTTTTATTTTGACAAAATGTAAGTATGGGGTATGATATGGAATATTCGCAAAAATAAAAACTGTATTGCTTGCAAACAAATCTGTAGTGTGATTGAGTCAATGGAGAACCCCGGCCTGCTTTATAGGAGGAGTCGAAACGGAATCCGACCGACGAGTCTGACCGCGAGGCAGATGTGACCGCCTCATGAGTCAGAGCGAAAGAGAATCCAACCGCGCTTTAATGAGTCCGACCGCGAGTCAGACCGAAATCGACCCGCTTCATGAATCCGACCGCGTAGAAAGAAAGTCCGACCGCTTAATCTCGTGATGTCGAAACCGCGTCTCGAGACAAACCCGATCTCTTAAAGAGCGATGGACTCAGAGCCGTCCGTTGTCTTCCCAATTTCGGATACCTCTGCCGCGCAAGAGAGAAAATGAGCCTGCGCCTGATCGTCATGCTTGCTGCCGCAACCGCGAGCCTGAGCCTGTGCTGTGTTGTGCCGCAGCACAACAAATCGTGCCCTGGATTATTCACGCGGCCCAAGGTAGAAGTACCTGACCTCGGGACCATGGAGGATATAAAAACCTCGGCAAAACTGATTAACAACACCGAACGTATGTATCTTGTTTTGTCATTGTATTCTGTGTTATCTGATTGCTGATGTTATTTTATAAAGGTGCACGCCAGTAACCTCAAACTTACTGTTTCTAGTGCTCAGACGGGTGAACGAGCTACACAACGACATTAAAAGGAAATTTGGGAAAAACCAAGGCTCAACTCTCTCCGTCGCGACAGCGACATACGTAATGTGTATGGCGGCGTATATGTTATCCTGAATGTGTGCTTGTGCGCTGTGTTATGTTGCTGCATAAACACAAAGTAACCACCTATATTGTTATGTAATCATGTAATGCTTCCAGAACAATGACAATTGTTGTTGTTATGAAATGCTTCCTGCGCAATGAACGCAACACAGATTTTAAAACTTTTCCTGAAATATACTATGAGGATTTCTATGTGCTGAGAACAGCAATGAAATAAAAAACCAAGCAATACAATCTGTGTCGTGTAAATGGTTTTATTGTGACACTCTTTTATTGCAAATGAAATACTTCATGATACACCGGAGGCGATGACCTCTCGACTTTAGAGGCTTGACACCGCTCCAACACCACGACCTTCTCCTCGTCAGTCATACAGGCGAGCCCTCTCCACTCGGCGTCCTCAAACAGCTCCAGAGCGGGGAGCCTCCAGATTGCGCGAAATTCTCTTAACCGGCTCGCATCTCATGAGTTTGGGCATCAGCTTTTCTCTGTTGCGCGTCACAATATCATCTCCCACAAGGTCCCCAGGGTCCGGGGCCAGCTCCGTGATCATTTGTAGCGTGGAAGGGGGAGGTAAGAACGTCACTTTGCTTTCCATAGCGTCCGCGATCACGGCCCCTAAGCTCCACATATCAATCGCGCACGTGTAGTCCGAGCGTGCTGCGAAAATCTCCGGGGCTCTGTACGGTTCGGTGACCACGTTCAAGCTCATCCGCTTAGACACTTGCCGCGCTAACCCGAAGTCGGCCACTTTCACGGTGAGATCTTCCGCGAGCAGCAGGTTGTTAGGCGCGATGTCTCTGTGTACGAGGTTGAGCCTGTGTACGTAGGCCAACGCGTTAGCCGTCTGCCTGGAGAAACTAGCCACAAAGCTCAGCGGGACCCCCGCGGAGGTATAAATCGCACAACTCAGCGTGAAAGGTAGACAAGGCATGAGCATAGCCATGCGATCCTCGTCGGACACGAAACAATCAAGCAGTTGGATAATATTAGGATGACCCCGTAAGGCCGCGAGGCACGAAAGTTCTCTCACGGTGGAGTCGTCCACTTTGCACGCGTGACATTTTAGAGCAAACTCCTCTTGGGTCCGCAGAGACTTTACCCTGTAAACTACACCGAAGGATCCCGTTCCGATAACGGGACGCGAGGGATCTTTCACATATCCTTCCATTGTGATATCACGGTAGGACTGACCGTAAATCGCACACTAGTTAGAGGAGTAGCAGCGAGCGCGTAGTCCGACCGCTATGAGTGCCGTCGATCTCCGACCGCTACGATCGCGGTTCAGAGAAATCCGACCGCGTCGCCCCGACTCTCCGACCGCCGCGACAACGAAGGGCAGAGAGCGTAATCCGACCGCGTCGCCGAACGGTGAGCCGGCATTACTCGCGACAAGGAAGGGAAGCCAATCGCGGAAAAGCAGCTTGCCCGTCTATCCACAGAGTTAACCAAGAGAGCGCGCGCGTCGATACAATGTCTCGGTCTCGGCGATTATGCGAAAACGGAATGGTGCAACGCATCAAAGAAATTCTGCGCGAGCTACGAGAATACAGCGAGGCGCCTCCGCCTCCCCGGCATACCGTGGTCCTCGCGTGTCAAGGATGGACGGTGCCGTACGATCGCAGAATATACGACGTGCTCAGCGTCCTGAAAGGATTCGGTGTAATAGCGTCAAAATCATCAGGACCAACCCGGGGCCCGGGACTGTGGACATATGCTCGTGCGGCGTATGAGTTTGTGCGCTCAAAACCGGGTGAATTCGATAGTGACACTTTTGCGCGAGAGTGTTCAATGTCGCGGCGAAGAAGCTACGATATACTGGGTGCGTTACTTGGACTCGGACATATCGAAAAGGTAACGAGGCGCGGGGCCCGCGGGACGTACACAACCGAGTGCACACTAAGCCCCGACGCCCGATACTGGAAGGAATACTTAGACGACATCTGGAGAGAAGGGACACCTAGATTGAGCGCCATGAACGTAACGCTTTCGAGCGATCATCAGCGCTTAGAACTCCGACGGACGATGGGACTCGGACTCGGACTCCGCGCGGAGTACGAGGAGGAAAAGGTCGAAAAGAAGGGGGATGACTCTGAGGACGCGAACGCGAACGACAATCGAGCGAATTGGTTTAAAGAGGAATCTATCTCGCTCGATTCGGAGTGGGGACAAGATTGGGATTGGGAGCAGGGCTGGGATGACATATTGCTTGAAAAAACTAAGGGCAACGCGGATCGTCCTACGGCACCCGCGCCCGCAACAAAGGGGACTTATGACTTACAGGAACTATTGAATCCGGAGGGTTGGGACTGGATGGATGAACCGAATGAAGCCTATGCCTCTGCCTCAGTAGTGTTCACCTCCGAGACTGAAAGCTGGCTGTGTGATTACACGGAAGCAGAGAAAGCTCGCGAAGAGCTATCGTTATGGCATTGGGATTGAATTGTTGTGTTATGACTTTGACTTACAACACTATTTTGAAATAAAAGAGACAGAATAAGAAAAGTGTGTCTAGCGTTTTATTTGCGTGTTTAAATCAGTTCACAACAGGCCAATTCAAATATCAGTCTCAGTCTTCGGACCCGCGTCGGGCTCGTCGTCCTCAGGTGTCCAGCTGCTGATCACCACCATCTCTGATAGGTCTTCGAGGTCGTCGTCGCTGATCTCGCTGAGCAAAAGATCATCACGCTCTGCATGTTCTGTAGCCGAGGTGCGGCTGGGCTGATCGCTACACTCGCGTAGCGACTCTTGCTCTTTGCCTCCACTGTTTTCCCTCTGCCGCCCGAGATCGAATCCGCGACGACGTCGACGTCGATGCCGCCGTTGATGCCGCCGGATGATGATACCGTGGAGATTGTTTTGTCTTTTCGAGATCGAATCCGCCACGTTGAAGTCGCCGGATGATCCCGCGGAGATCACTTTGTCTTTTCTTAGCGGTCCGAAAGATGCGCTTAAATTTCTCTGTAAGCTGAAACTCCGCCTCGGAAACGTCGATCACACTAATGGAGTAGACCCCAACGTGGCAATCGCAGAATTTCAAAGTGTCTATGTCTCCAACGAACGAGGCGCGTAGGCGTCTGCCGAATCGCCAAGCGTTATCCAACTTCTCCCGACAGTACTCTGCGTGCCTGCGCGTCCGCAGGGTGACCAGTCCGTACCGCGACACGTGCCCGTTCAGACCTAAGGTGATCAGGATCCTGCACTCTGCCACGTGCGCGTATGTCTCGCAAATGTGTCTGAGATGCCACGCCGTGACATCTCGGGGTATACCGAAAACGGCCACGGTTCTCGATAGCCCGATCAAATCGCACTCCAACGAAGCCATGCCCGATCAGTCTGAACGCTTTGTCGAAAGTAAACCCAACTGCTTCGGTTAGTATAGAGTCCGACAGCACTAAAAGAAATCCGACCGCCTGAACGAGCTATAGAGTCCGACCGCGCGCGAGATGGATGGAGGCGCGCGAAGCAATTGTAATATATACTACAAGCTACAAACGCGAGTTGCGTGGTTGTAAAAACAACATCGGACATGTCGAAAGAAACAAAAACGTACAGCGAATCTTCTCCGACCGAGGAAACCATGACGCTGCGTTCAGGGCGCGTTGTCAGCAAACCGATGGCCGCGAATCCCTCGTGGGCGCCCGTGGAGTTCAGGTGCAGAGTCGAAGAGAGAAAACCGATCTTCATAGAGCCTACCGTAGCTAAGGCTAAAGCAACCAGCGCTAAGATTGATGAGAGCGATGCTGATCTTGTCGAAGAAGAAAGCAGCGATGATAATGATGATGATGATGATGATGATGATGATGATGATGATGATGATGATGATGATGATGATGATGAAGAAGAAAGCTTTATCGCCTTTAGCGATTGGCTGAAAGCAGGCGGTCAGTTTCAAGGCCCGTTCACCGTTACGGCTATGTGAAGTTTTCGATCGCGGGTGAAAACGCTGCCGTAAATTGGGCTTGGCGCGAAATACACGAAAGCCCTTGCATGCACGCCGCGCCGACGAAGATCGCATCAATGGGAGCTCAGCGCGATTCGTCGTTGAGATGGACCATAATATCAAACAAAGCGGGGCTCGGATTGAGACGGATGACTCCTGCGTGCTAAGCGATGCGCTGAAGGATATCAACGCGGGGGAGCTCTGGAATGTGATGGTGTTCGCAGCTGGATACGTGTTGTATTTTGCGTATACGATGCGCAACAAATACGTGGATATCGAGGCGGAGAGAGAGCTAGTCCGCAAAGCAAGAGAGGATGCGAGAAGGAGCGAGTCGGTCTAGCTGGTCTGCACCGTAATGGAGGGAGAGCGGATCCTCAAAGCAGTAGAAGCAACGAAGACAGGAGAAAACACCGCTAATGATTTTCTATGTGTTGTAATGTGACCCGTCATTTTGAGAAAAGAAATAAAAACTGTTACAAACGCAGCCTGAGTGTGTGGTTGTCATTGTTTATAATTGTCATAAAGCATCATTATTTATTTACAGTATAGAGGAGATGAAAATGATCAAAAGATGCTGTTCAATCCTTTAAGGTCACGCTCGCTATCGAACGTACTGCGCGACGCGCAGCTCGACGCGGTAGAGCTTAACCCCCAGTGCTACGATGAAAGAGTACCAAGAGTACCTGTTCCGCTAGGGCCACCTTGTACCTCGGAGCGCGTGAAAAAAGACCGCGACTCTCTCTTCAGAGCCGCGAGCTTCGCCCTATGCGGCAGCGAGGCCCTTTACCGCGCGCTCAAAACGCAATGCGATGAGATTGCGAAAGACAGGTCAGGTCCTTCGGAGCCACCGATAATCTTAAGCGAATGTCTACGCGTTCCCGTGATCGCTTACAGCTACGGCGAAAACAAATGGAACGTCTACGCTCCTTCGCAAAATACGCGCCTTCGCATGACCGCCGCGAAGACGGAGCGATATACTTGATCCAGGATGAACAGTTTTATTACAGACCTGTAATTTGCGTGAAAATCCCCAAAGAAGACGAAGACCCCTATTCTGAACCTGTTTGCTACGGCTTTTGCAAACACGATACGATAGACGAGTGTGAAATGTGCAGGATTTACAGGATTTACTGGGGACCCGTCGAGCATGAGGAGGAGGAGGGCGAGGGTATGCGACCCGTAGAGCAGCGCGAAGAGCACAACGATCGAGATCGAGGAGGAGGAGGAGGAGGAGGAGGAGGAGGAGGCCGTAGAGCATGACGAACGGGGAGGCGATGCTCGCGTCTGGAGGGGGGACGAAGCCGACCCCGGCGATTACAGACGGGGGCCCGTAGAGGACAACGAACAAGAATGGGATAACTGGGATAACTGGGGTGAAGATAATGACGAGGGGTTCGGGAGCGTCGGGAGCGAAGAAGTTGTCGAAATGGATGACATCGATCGACCCGACAATGGTGATAATGTCCTATATATGTATCCAGCAGCAGCCGCAGCAGCCGCACCTGCAACCCCGCGATCAAGAACGGAAAGCACAGAGCTCAGCATGGACCACGAGGAGAGCGAGGTGATGTACGTGGGTACCGAAAGCGGCCATATGATGTTTGATCCCGTGATGGATAACGCGATACACCATGTCGCATTAGGCCTCAAGAAATACGACGATGATGATGATGATGATGATGATGATGATTACGATGAGTACGCTGCATACTGTGAGCAACGACTGAAAAAAGTAGGCGAAAGGATAAAGACCAAAGAAAAGTTCGGACCGCTACGGTTACGCGAAAAATGCTACGGTCAAGGATTTCGCGCCGTCCCGCTGGGCCCTCCGTGTAAAACGGAGCCTATAGAAAAAGACGGAAATTGCCTCTTCCGAGCGGTGAGCTACGCGCTCTGCGGCGATCAAAAGTATCACCCGGTCGTAAGAGAAAAGTGCGTGTCCGAACTGCAGGAGTGGGAACATGATAAGGAGAGACACCCGTTTCTTCCCCCGGGATTCGCGACGACGGCAGAGTACGTGGCCGCGAGACATATGGCCCAGCCCGGAAAGTGGGGCACAGCACTAGAGATCGCCGCGCTTGCGAACTTCTTCGGGTTGTCTATATACACGTACCTGGACGATAGGTGGTTTGTGTACCACCCAAAAGTGTATGGCCACGGACAGTACGGAAAGGGAATATACCTGAGTAACAAAGGCGCCCATTATGAACCGGTGGTCTGCGTGAAGC